CCACCAGCAGTGCAGGAGAGTTCCTTTTTCTCCACATCGGGGAGGGGCCTTTTATATGCCTCACACTGTCGGGGCTGGAGAGGGAGTGGAAGAGCCATTCGGTCCTTTTGGTTGGCTGTCCCGTTTGTTCGGGGGCTCTGGTCTTTAGCAGGGTGGCTATCTGAGGTAACATCCTGACGCAGCTCAGTAGCTCTCTCATCCTGATACTGCAGGATATTGTCACTCTGGGGGCCTGGGTGAGGGGACTGGGTGACCTTTCATTAAGAAGCAGAGGGCCCAGAGCCCACAGGGAACCACTGGGAGCCTGCGGAGGCCCCATGATGCATCGTCATGGAGATAGCGCTTCGTGGATTGCAGAACACGCAGAACTCAAAAGAAAAGCAAAGTAGTTTGCATTTACTGAGCACTTACCCAGGGACTGTTCCGAAAGCCTGAGGTGCTTCTGTTGACTCGGTCTTCACCGGTAAAAATGATTATTATTCTTTTTTGCTAAAAGTTAAAGGGGAAAAAAACCCAACTTTTCCCTTTAGGGTAAGTGGGCTTGGCCATTCACTGTGAGGAGGAGCAGTTCATGGGTCTAAAGGGAAGGAGACTAGCAGGTGTGAAGTTGGGGGTCTTGTGGGCCTGTGTCTAGGGAGAAAACAGCACAGAGCAGGATGGCTCTGTCTGTGGGAGGAGCAGGCACAGCCAGCAGGGAGTCAGCTCCCCGGAAACCCCGGAAAACCTGGTTTGTCTTATCAAATTTTCGTTGAAGTCATACCGTGTTAGGTAAGCTTCAGGTGTGCATCATTGCACACCAATGTCTGTACAGACCACGCGAAGTTCAAGCCCCCTTTGAAATGGCAAAGGGAGCTGCTGTGAGGTCACTTCCATGTGACCTGCAGGACTGAGCGTCCTTCAGAATGAGCTGAGAGCTACTCGCCCCCACCTGGTGCTGTAGACACAGGCTTCGAAAATGATGATACCCCCGGGTAGACTCACACCCCTGGGCACAGTTCTCCTGCAGATCCTGCCCAAGTCCAGGCTCCTGGGCAGGGCATGAAATCAAGGTAGGAAAAACTCCCCTCTCCACTCCTCCCCACACGTTTGTGTGCTGCAGACGTGAATGACTTTTTGCTCAGGATGAAGAGTGGGAAGGAAACCCAGCCTTACCTTGCTTGTCAAGGGGGATTATTCTTTAAAAGGAGACTAATGGGGCCTCCCTGGTGGTGCAAGGGGTTAAGTCGCAGCACTGTGAATCTGTAGCCTCAGGCATGAGTTTGCTCCCGCCCAGGGAGCTGACCCACAGGGTGCTGCAGACCTCCCCTGTCTCTCCTGCTGCTCCCCTCAGCAGTGGGAGTTCTTTTCTTTTCTTTTCTTTTCTTTTCTTTTCTTTTCTTTTCTTTTCTTTTCTTTTCTTTTCTTTTCTTTTCTTTTCTTTTCTTTTCTTTTCT